CGATTTTCTTTTGTTTTTGTCTTATGATGTTTTTGTTTTTGTTTTTTTGCCCTACGTTGTTCTTTTGTTTTTGTTACGATGTTTGTTTTTCCAGCGTTTTTTTTATTTAGTTAAGGGAGTGGGTGAGTTGGTTGTTAGCTCGTTAGTCATTTAGTTAGTCAGTCTGTCACTCAAATCAGTCAATCAATTGGTCAGTCTGTCACTCAAATCAGTCAATCAATCGGTCAGTCTGTCACGTAAATCAGTCAATCAATCGGTCAGTCTGTCACTTAAATCAGTCAATCAATCGGTCAGTCTGTCACTTAAATCAGTCAATCAATCGGTCAGTCTGTCACGTAAATCAGTCAATCAATCGGTCAGTCTGTCACTTAAATCAGTCAATCAATCGGTCATCTGTCACGTAAATCAGTCAATCAATCGGTCAGTCTGTCGTAAATCAGTCAATCAATCGGTCAGTCTCCTTAAATCAGTCAATCAATCGGTCAGTCTGTCACGTAAATCAGTCAATCAATCGGTCAGTCTGTCCTCAAATCAGTCAATCAATCGGCCAGTCTGTCCTCCAAAATCAGTCAATCAATCGGTCAGTCTGTCACTAATCAGTCAATCAATCGGCCAGCCATCGTCATTAAATCCAATCGGTCAGTCTGTCACTCAAATCAGTCAATCAATCGGCCAGTCTGTCTCAATCAGTCAATCAGTCAGTCTGTCCTCAAATCAGTCAATCAATCGGTCAGTCTGTCACTTAAATCAGTCAATCAATCGGTCAGTCTGTCACTCAAATCAGTCAATCAATCGGCCAGTCTGTCACTCAAATCAGTTAATCAATCGGTCAGTCTGTCACTTAAATCAATCAATCAATCGGTCAGTCTGTCACTTCCCAGTTTCTCGATTAGTCTCTCACTCAATCAGTCGCTCAATCAGCCAGTCACTCACTCAGTCACCCAATCAATCAGTCACTTAGTCAATGAGTCTCACTCTTCAGTCTCTAAATCAGGCAGTCAGTCAATCAGCAAGTCATTCACCTCTCATTCAGTCAGTCAATCTCTCAGTCAGTCACTCAATTATTGTCACTCAATCCGTCAGTCGTCGATCCGTCACTTCAGAAAACATCCACATAAAAACATATGAATAATTGATATAAAACAAACCTGTGCTTTGAATAAAAATGATATACACAAAATATTATTGTTTACAGTACGTTATTTATAAACTATAATTACTATATACTGATGTTTACATTAAGATATTGACATTTGATAATTAAATAAATATCGTCGTACGTCCGCCAGCTTCGTACCTCGGGTCCTAAGAGTCGCCCAAACTCTTGTACAGCACTGGATAAACAATTACTGAACTGTAATACCTTATTATACTGTATATACGAACGGTCACTAGAGTAATGTGGTCACTGGAGTAAGGTGGTCACTAGAGTAATGTGGTCACTGGAGTAAGGTGGTCACTGGAGTAAGGTGGTCACTGGAGTAATGTGGTCACTGGAGTAAGGTGGTCACTAGAGTAATGTGGTCACTGGAGTAAGGTGGTCACTAGAGTAATGTGGTCACTGGAGTAAGGTGGTCACTGGGTAAGGTGGTCACTGGGTAATGTGGTCACTGGGTAAGGTGGTCACTGGAGTAAGGTGGTCACTGGAGTAAGGTGGTCACTAGAGTAAGGTGGTCACTGGAGTAAGGTGGTCACTGAAGGTGGTCACTGGGTAAGGTGGTCACTAGAGTAATGTGGTCACTGGAGTCAGGTGGTCACTAGAGTAATGTGGTCACTGGAGTAAGGTGGTCACTAGAGTAAGGTGGTCACTAGAGTAAAGTGGTCACTAGAGTAAGGTGGTCACTGGAATATATTGGTCGTCGTTTCAACCGATGGACGTATAAACAAACACAAACAAGCAAACAAACACAGACAAACAAACACAGACAAACAAACACAGACAAAAACAAACACAGACAAACAAACACAGACAAACACACACAGACAAACACACACTAACAGTCACACTATATACTCAGATAATTATTTCAGTTCGCTGTGTAATGAAACTGATCGACCAGCTGTGAAATTTTCGTAGCGATCAAGTGAAAAGTTCTGGACACGCTGGAGTGTAAATAAACATTAAATAATATCAGTGGTGGTGATGGTGATGGTGATGGTAGTGGTGATGGTAGTGGTGATGGTGATGGTGATGGTGGTGGTGAAGGTGATGTGATGGTGGTGATGGTGGTGATGGTGATGTGATGGTGGTGATGGTGGTGATGGTGATGGTCGGTTATGGTGGTCAAGGTTCGTGGTGGTAGTGGTTATGGTGATGGTGATGGTGATGATGATGGTGGTGGTGATGGTGGTGTGCTGGCGGTGGTAGTGGTGGTAACGGTGATGGTTGGGGTGGTTGAGGTATGTGTGTGGGGGCGGGGGCTAGGGGGGTGGAGACAGGGTATTTCATTTCCTCATTTTTTTCTTTGTTCCTTTCTTTGCTCTTCTTTCTCCTCACCTTTCACGTTGTCTCTCTTCTTTTATGTTTCTTTTGCTCTCTCTCTCTCTCTCTCTCTCTCTCTCTCTCTCTCTCCTCTCTCTCTCTCTCTCCTTCTTGGTTCTCATGCCGTTTCCTTTCCGTTTCTCCCTCCTCCCTCCCCACCCCTCCCTCCCTTCCCCTCCTCCCTCCCTCCCTCCTCCCCCTCTCCCTCCCTCCCTCCCTCTTTCCCTCCCTCCTCCCTTCCCTCCCTCCCTCCTTCCCCCTCTCCATTAGTCATCTCCTCCCTCCTTCCTTTCCTCCTCCTTCCCTCCCTCCTTCCTTCCCTCCCTCCCTCCTTCCCTCCCTCCTTCCTCCCTCCTTCCATCCCTCCTTCCTGCCCTCCTTTCCTTCCCATCCTCCTTCCATCCCTCCTTCCTCCTCCTTCCATCCTCCTTCATCCTCCTTCCTCCCTCCTTCCCTCCTCCTTCCCCTCCCTCCCTCCTTCCTCCTCCCCTTCCTTCCCTCTCTCCTCCTCTCCATCCCTCTCACTGTCTCCTCTCCTCAAAAAAAAACAAAAAGATAGAAAAGCAACACCATCATATGCGTCGGCAGGTAACACCACACACACACACACACACACACACACACACACACACACACACACACACACACACACACTAAAGAACATAAAAATGTATAATTGACAGAAGCCGTGGAGGTGGTTGGGTGGCTTATGAGGTGGACGGGTGTAGGGTGGACCGGTGGGTAGGTGGGTGGGCCTCTGGGTGGATGGGTGTGGAGTGGACGGGTGGAGGTGGGGTGGGGGTCTCTGGGTGGATGGTGTGGGGTGGACGGGTGGGTGGGTGGGGTGGGTCTATGGTGGATGGGTGTGAGGTGGACCGGTGGGTAGGTGGGGTGGGTCTCTGGGTGGATGGGTATAGGGTGGACGGGTGGGTAGGTTGGGGTGGGTCTCTGGGTGGATGGGTGTGTGGATGGTTTTACTAATACTCTGTAACTTACCAATTAAGAATACTATTTTTTTTCTTCTTACTTTACACCATAAAACACCTGAGACGTCTTATTGTCAACACCATCCTGATATATAACAATTTTGTACAGATTAAATCATAACTGGATGCTAGAGGTAAGTGATTTCCAGTGACCTTTGACCTTGACCTTCATTGCTGGAGTTGGTATGACCGCGATGATGATTCTTACAGGATAAAAATACAACTCGTTCCAGTCAGTTGATGAGTTTCATAACATTTAGTCAAGACGTTTCCTCATTAACCTATAACTTTAACCATTATTCAATATTAACGAAAATAATACAATACCTACGTTCTCCTCACAGCAACGAAGTCAAATAAATATCGTAAAGAACAAATCAAAATTGAAAACTCTAGAGTGTAAAACAACCGACAACTCGAACTGATCAAAATAGTCTACGCGGCAGATACACGGAACGCGGGGTATAACAATAACAGGAAGAACTATGGCTGAAGAACGATTTTAAGCACCAGCGTCTCTAAAGATTCCCCGGGAGAGAAGAGATCGTAAATTGAGAGGGTAAAATAATTGATAGCGGAGTTGAGGATGAAGACGCTATTGTTGACTGAGGATTATGGTGGTCTGAGTCTCCTGTGGTCT